CCCCACATCAATAAACCCGCAACTGTCCGACAGTAATACAAATGTGGTCGTAAGCCTCAGATGGGTGCTTTATTCCAAGAAAGACTGGACGACTGACCGTCGCTCGTGACATAAGACTCATGAGTGATCGCCTCTGTGGTCTAGTGGTCAAAGTTCCTGCTTACAGATCCAGAGATCCCGGGTTCGATTCCCGGCGCTACCAGATTTTCTGAAAACTAGTGGGTCTGAGACGGGATTCCTTCAGCCTCGTGAGGATAATTGAGGAGTTGCTTAAAAGGAAATGTAGCGGCTCGGGTCTAGAAAACCGAAATTAACGGCCGTGGGAATTCATTGCGCTGACCACGTGACATCCTCTATCCGCTAAAGTTGACAGTAACTTCGCAGACAAGCGGCGGTCGGTATAGTTCGCTTGCGGACTACAGACCACGAAATTTGTATTTTTTGTTGTAGCGAGTTGCCGATAGGAGACAGCCACTGGAATTCAGTAGTTGAAGAAGAATTAGAAGTCAACCTGGGAAGACTTAGTGTGTTATTAGAAGCTTTCGTCACAGTGAGACTGTTTTAATTCCGTTACCAAGATACGACTAATGAAGACTGAGAACGCAAAGTTCGCGATAGCACTGTATTGCTTGTAAGTTGCACTTGCGTGAATCAGGTGATAATAAATCGGATCATCCAGCCCACGTCTCGTTATTATACGTCACGGAACCCCGGGCACGTGACAACATTATCCTCCCATCTACACCAGCGTTTCTGAATAGTCTCTTCTGTTTCGTAACTCTATAAATATATTTACTTAATTTAATGACGCTGGCATTATATATCAGACTGTACGGTGTTTATCGTCAAATGACAGGATGCTCAGTGACTAATTAACTGGAAAAGTATGGAAGGAAGTTAAATTGGCTGGACAAAGACACTCTTCAAGAGGACGGAATAGGCCAAGTATGGCCTAATCCATGCCGGGGTTGTTGATGATGATGATGATGATGATGATGGTGGTGGTGGTGGTGGTGGTGGAAACAAAGAGTCGATGTCTAATTTAGGCACTATCTCGGCACATGCCTACAGACAGTGAGGAGTACCTTGGGCGCCATCTTGATATTCCTTATTCTGGCCGAGATTCGAACAGAGCGTATCTGGAAGCTTTTCCGTTTGAGTAAGCTCTGTTTGATCACTTTCCTGCAAGTTTTCATACTAAAATTTCCTTCCTACATGTCGCATCCATATTAATATTATTATCTCCATTTTGATCACACTAATAATATTACAGTGAGGTGTACAAATAAAAAAAACTGGGATCTCTCATTTTAAAATCTTTTGTTGCTTCCTGTCAGTTAAGCCCAAATGTTCTCCTCAGCACCCTGCATTCACTAAGAGTAAAAAAAAATGTTGTTCCTGTGCTCAATTAAATAAGCACTTCGCCATGAAGACGTGTGGGACAACGGAGGTATAGCTCCACAATTCTTAATCTCGCCACTAAATGTAGGTGAGTTGCCAGCTTCAAGTCCCATCCGCTTTAGTCCCGAAGAAAGAACCCCTGATACGCATTGGATATGAGGCTGCATGAGCCAGAGAACCGGCCTGGGCGCTGTGGTGTTGTCTCTTTCGGGAATCAAACCCCAGCCCTCCAGCATGTAGCTATACCGACGGATCCATATCGGGTCCTCTCAATCCAAGTAATAATAATAATAATAATAATAATAATAATAATAATATATAAACACAAAAGCGATTTACAAATGACATTATCACAATTCCTCCTGGTCTCTGATGTCCGTTAGTACGAAGGAGAGACAGTATACAAATGGATACAGAATGTAAAATAAATTATATTCGAACCATGAAAGAAACATTTATTTCTCGATATATCCTCCACCAACACTGATAAACTTGTCCCAACGCTTTACCAATGCTTCAAAACCCGCAGCATAGAAGTCTCAGCCATTTCCGGACCTCCGTTTCAACCTCTTTGTCGTAAGTGAAACGTTTGCGATCCAGTTGTGAACCTCTTAGAAGACAAACACTTCCCAACATCAATAGTAAACATTTCCTTTGCATTCAGTCCTTTAGTGCACAAAAAGAAGCACAACTGAACGCTGCTTTTAGGTAGTACATACCATAAGCACGGTCGCCATTTTGACTATTAAAACTACTACCGTGTCCTGAGTACTGCCGTTTTCTATTCCAAGCCGCGTCAAACGAGTCACCACTTCTGCTACCTCCCTGCACATTTTCTTAACACTGTCTTTCCAGTTTCCGTTCCTCATAAATCCAGACGAGCGCGGCCTGGAGGGTACAACTGGGACTACGCTGTTACAGTCCCTCACAGCCGCATCTGTTTCCCCCTCCCATCGCGGTACGAAAGTAGACATTTGAAGCAAACGTCACGGTTCGACCATTCAGTCACCCATAGGAGGTGTGCGTGGCTACGTGGCATGTGGCTTCTCATAAGAGCATTTTCATCATATTTGGCCCTTGATAGTACCGCTCGGGTCTCTCATATCCTCACGCGAGGGGAGAGGCTAATGCTCTCCAGGCTGTGAGACGGTTCGGTGTCTCTTCATTTTGCTTCCTTACCAGCGTCTTCACTTCTTCGCCATGCACTGCGCTGCAATGCCTCTCGAAGGTAACCTTGCTGTTATTCCTCACTTATTTAACGACGATTTTAATACCTCCGATTACAGAGCGACCTGTGAAAGGATTAGTGACTAATGAAATGGAAATATCCTACAATTTACTCATACTGACTAATCCTCAACCAGAATATACTGCTTATGGGCGAGATTTGAACCCGTGATATCACGAATATAAAGCACGATTATCAACGATTATATTCTGATGTTCGGGTAAGCATAGTTGGTTGAGACACTATGATACAAGCCGGACGATAGCGGGTTTGATTCTGGATGAAATCATTGGATGTTTCAATTGACCTAATTCTTCCAGCCGCACTATGGCCCTGGGGTCGACTCAGCTTCTAACAGAAGTGAGTACCAGGAATCTTCCTTGGAGTAAAAGACGGCCGGCGCTTAAGACTGATAATCTCACCGCCATCTGTGAGCAGACTCTCTAGAAAATGTGGGAGCCTCAACGTCTCACATTCCTACGGGCCTCCAGAGCCTGTTACAAGAATATTTTTTTTTTTGCACTGACGATGGTTCATATTAATACCACTTCAGAAAATGCGAAATTGTCCCAATTTTGGGGCTGAGTAGCGTGTAGACATCACTGCAACAGCTCGAATTTTCCAGGAAACAATGAAATTAATGACTCGAATATCTCGGTTCATAAAATTTCAACGTTACGCGTCTGCAATGCAAGAGAGCGTGTCCTGTGCACCGCCACGTCATTGGTTCGTAACAACCAGAAGCAAATACAGTGGACGCTGCCTAAAGTAATCATTCCGGGGCACAGCTTAATTGATAACTATCATCAACAAGAATGAAAATCTCATAATGTTTCATACCATTAAAAAGGAATAAAGAAAATGTTACAATCAAGAATTAGAATGTTTTTTTTAAGTTGTCTATTGTCTTTTCTGAGAAACGCCTTACCAGCAATTCATATAAGTGATAACATTACACTAGTGATAAAATCCGTGATTACAATAGGCGGCGTCCGCTGTATGTGGCGGCGGCTTCCGTTTTAAGGTTCGTCTGCAAAGTTATGTTATTGGCTGACTTTCTACCTCTTTTTTTTTTTCTCATCTGCAGAGATCTCCTCTAGCTGCTGTTGTAAGAGAAGAGATTGAGTCGGAAAAAAAAAAGAAACTACATGTTTGCAGAGCCCTTTAGTTTCCTTTTCCAGCCAACGTTTCGGAAGAAAATATCGTGTTCAACTTCAGTGTCGTAGAATAAGCCAAACACTAAACTAGCAGATGCAAGTGGGAAACCGCTGATTTACTACTTAACATATTCTTCGACACTGAAGATGGATATATTTCTCCGAAGCGTCTGGCTGAATCCGAAACACGAGGCCTTACAACCCAGAAACCCGCAGTCTTAATAATATGTTGCCTTCCCAAAGAATGTCTAACGCAATTCACTCAAATCTGTACAAAACAATATTCTCATTAGGATTATATTATAGGGTGTAGAGCCGTTGCTATGCAACGACGGCGAGATACGCAGATACGCTAGAGTTGTTACTAGGCAACGGCTCGATAAACATGTTCCCGCAACAACAGACATGAACAAAACATTAATGCAGCAACAGATGAAGTTTTCTGTGTGGTCCGTGCCGACATATAAGCGAGGCGAGGTTTAGAGCTTAGTCAGTAAAAGGCGAAAGATTTATACTTATTGAAGGGAATCCCGTGTGGAGGCGGGGTCGAATACCTCCACCGTGACCCTGCGAGTCGTAGAAGGCGACGAAAAGGGAAGTCTCAAATCTGAGACAGTAAAATATGGTCGCAAGTCCCACGGGACACTAGCCCGAGAAAGACTGCGCTGATTAGGACCAGCATCAATTGCAAAGGACAGATCCGTCCTATCGTCAGAGAGAGCGGCCTACATCAACAATCCTGCAAATGTCTGAAAGTAATAAATATCTGGCCGTAAGCCCCAGATGGGTGCTTTATTTCAAGACAGACTGGCCGACTGAACGTTGGTCATAGCATAAGACTCAGACTAAGCACAGTCAATTGATAGGCGGTGAAGAGACTTTATGTGTGATAATTGGAGTGTGTATTTGATAATGTTATAGTTCCTTTGTTAAAATCCGTTACAAGGAAACGGCTAGTAGAGACTGTAATAGATTGAGGACATTAGTCTATGTGTGTCAGTGATCTGTAGAGTGTAGTTAAGATTCGTGTGTGTATAAGCGGTCAATAAATCGAGTGACCAATACAAACCCCGTCTATAGTCACTCATGCACTGACAATATCAACAATCTGATTCGTGAACGTCACGTTCAGCCAGTTACACTCGGAATTATAAAATACGATACAGACACAAAGACCCTTAGTTAAAAGAAATGAAATGTGCAGAGTTCCTTACCTTTTACGAAGACGCTTGTTCACGACCCTAAAACAATAAGGAAACAAATTGTGAAACACAGGGTTATAACAGCTCAGTACAGTATCATTATTATTGTGGCTCTACAGCCCTTTGTGGGCCTTGGCCGCATTTCAGCTTCCTGATTCTATAAACAGTCCCCCTTGGAAGGGGGATCAGCCTATCGCATGGCCGCTACCTACTCACAGGACAACACAAAAAGAATAAACGCACACACAGACATCCATGACTTGGGTGGAATTCGAACCCAGATCCCAGCGTTCAAGCGAGCGAAAACAGTTCATGCCGTAGACCGCGCGGCCATTGTGATNATATAGCGAACTTTATTTCACATCCGCTCTCACAATCACTCAATATTACAATCTGACGATTACTGCTATCTGCAGTATCACAAATATTACACTCCAAATGCCAGAATACAACTGACTGGCTGACTCTACGTCTCGACTCGGCGATACCCACGGTATAACTGTTGCCGTACAACTCTGAACTGTGAATAGCCCTCGCTGCGCCTCATGTAGCCTCGATCGGACAATACGGGAAAACGGCCACGTAATAGGCACTCTTGTTGCCTGGCGCTGTGTTGCTATGTAACGCTAGCGGAGGTAACCGCTGTTACTATCGTAACGTCGCCGCTGTTGACTCGTGTTGCCTAGCGACCGCGATATCCCTCGGTGACGTCACATCGGAGGGGTGTGGTGGGGCGGGAACTCGCCTATTATCGTAAGAACGCGAGCATTATGTTACCGCCACGTACCGCTGGGGAGGTAGGGGTGATCCATGGCTCAACACGTCACAATATTTTATATTTTCCACAAGAAGGAAAATTAAGAATTTGGGCAGAAATACATGGCCTACCAAAACAAATCAAAACTCCAAGCAACATCTGTAACTGATGCGTAATCGCGCAGCAATCAACGCAAGTTGAACCCAAGTAAACAATAAAAACAAATAACTTTATTCTTCTCATGATTTATTCCAAGTTTCTACGCTTTGTGTTTAGAAAAATATGCTAATTTTTTAGGAATCCTCTTTTGCATCTTGGACCACGCGGTGGCGCAATTAAGTAGCTGAGGCACTATACTACAAGCCGGAAAATCGCGGTTTCGATTCCCGATGAGGTCACTGGATTTTTCAAAAGACCTAATCCTTCCAGCCGCACTATGGCTCTGAAATCAACTGAGCCTCTAACAAAAATGAGCACCAGGAATCTTCCTAGTGGTAAAGGTGCGGCCGGCGTGTAAGGCTGCAACCTTACCTCCATCTGTGAGCCGATTGTCTAGAGAAAATATGGGAACCTCGACGTCTCACAAGCTTATGGACCTCAACGGCATATTACAGGGATAGCTTTAACTGTGCCTGCCTTGCATCATGTTTATATGTCACTGCCAGTTTAAAAGATGTTACCTTACTTGGTGCACCGCATGCGCAGTTCGAAGCATGTCTCTGCTCTTTCATTTCATATTGTCCCTTGTAAAGCCGAGACCGAAAGAGTTTCATACTTGCGGTTTATATTCTCTTTCCTTTGTCCTGACAACGAAACTTTCACTTCCAGGGAACAAACACAAACACAAACACAGATACTGTTGACAGCACCCACTATCATCGCTACCGGTTCTTACATCCTATGTACATAAACAGATTTTATAAGCTTGAGGTTTGTCATTGTCAATAAGGAGCTTCTAATTACCATAGCAACGAATTGTCAAGCATTAACATAAATGTTATATAGTAAGTCAGAAGCTAGAGAAGATTATTTCGTTTTAGTGTATCGTGTCTATTATGTGAGAACTAATTATGATTTGATATGGACACACAAAGTGTAACATACGGGATAGATATGGTTTGAGATAGATTACCTGTGCGTGTTACTAGTGGGAGATGACACTGAATGTCGGCCTCGGCGTATCATTCGATAAAAACGGGTAGGACTTGAATACGGGAAACAGCATTACTAGCACAACAGCTTATAAAAAATGAAGAGATTTCCCTCTGAATTATCAACGGGTGTTACACTAATATACGGTAGACACATTAAAATGCGAAACACAAATTTAAAAAGGGAACAAAAATAAAATTTGTCAAAATCTCGTGATGGTGGGTTGATATTTATAAATAATATGATTAAATATAAAATAAGATGGAATTGTGATAACCAAGGAAACCCCGATTGGGCATAATTAATTATACGAATTTAAAAACTGAACAAGGGATCTTCCTGGTGGTTGAGGGTGGCCGAAGCCTAAGGCTGAAAACCTCACCGCCGTCTATGAGCCGACTGTCTAGAAAATGTAGAAGCCTCTAAGTCTGACAAACCTATGGGCCTCCACAGCCTGGCTGACAACCTCACCGCCTTCTGTGAGCCGATTTTCTAGCAAGTATGCCTCGACGTCTCACAACCCTATGGACCTCCAGGGCCAGTTACAAGGATAGCTTTTACACGCAATAAGAATAGAGAGAAGAAAACATCAGTCACCATAGCTTGGGGATTTATAATTTAAAAATCACACAACGAAGGGTAGAGTGCTGCATTATCGGACTGGAATGAAAGTAGGCTTATTCTACACGTACATTATTTCAGTCCACAGAAAACTATTTGCAGGTTTAAGCCTCATTCAGGCATGAAAATGGATTACGCCCAATGCAGTAAAATGACTTAAGTCTTACAGTGTATTCAGCTGATCACCAAAATGTTTTCATTTCGACTTCTCCTACACAAAAGCTCGTACTTTGAAACCTTAGAAAATGTCAATACAATTCCCATTAAAAGGCCAGATAATATTCTTATTTTTACCAACTGACGGACGCGCTTGTTTTCAACAGGACATGAAGCTAAAATTTACGAAACCTGTTGAGAGGACGCTGAATGAGATTTTGATCCAATCCCATGATGCGAACTTGGTGAACTCTCATAAGTAAGTTGTTTAAAAACTGAATACATCCTGTGCAAAATAAATCCCTAAATTACGGAAGGCAGAGTTTTTAATAAACTCATCATGGAAGCAAGGTCCGTGATGGGATGGGATCTAATAATACGAGGAAAACCTTCCGGCTTTTTCCGCATCCATAATTTAAAATTATAAATCTCACTTTGAAAATATCCTTAGGAGTGTGCATAGCCTGTTACATCGGCACATTCATTATAAAGCCAAAAAGGCTAATTAAAGCAATAAGAAATGTACGAAAAATTAAGTGAGGTGAAACATTCCTCCTTGTTATATTCAGCCATACGAAGTGAATATTACCTCCAAAAATTGCAATAAAACAAAAACAGGAATATGACTTAAAATCATAATGTCGATATTACAGAGTGGACTGAGCTGGAACAGGATAGGTACCAGTGGAGGGGCCCTGTGAACTCGGTAATAAGACTTCCGGTTTCGTAGAATGTTGGNTGTACTGTACACTGAAACAGCTCTATCTCGGTGCAACTCGTGTGAAGACATGGCGTGTTGCTCGTCTGTACAGTGTACAGTGTACTGTACACTGAAACAGCTCTATCTCGGTGCAACTCGTGTGAAGACATGGCGTGTTGCTCGTCTGTACAGTGTACAGTGTACTGTACACTGAAACAGCTCTATCTCGGTGCAACTCGTGTGAAGACATGGCGTGTTGCTCGTCTGTACAGTGTACAGTGTACTGTACAGTGAAACAGCTCTATCTCGGTGCAACTCGTGTGAGGACATGGCGCGTTTTTCGTCTGTACAGTGTACAGTGAACTGTACAGTGAAATAACTCTATCTCGGAAACCGTTCGGAATAGGACACGTGTACATAAACATACATTTTTCGCTTAGAATGACAGATACTACGACCTCCCAGAATATTGGCCTTCCCTCCTGAGACACTGTAAAATACGTAATGTAACGACAAAGAAGCTCTGAAATTACGCAAGTTTGGGTTACCATAGCAAAGAAATACCGAGGATTATTACAGTATATTGCATGGTAGGTTATGAGATATCGAACCATCTTTTGTTTCAGTGTATTGTGTATATTCTGTCAGAAATTATATTTTGTTTTAAACATATGAAGTGTTTTACACCGTTTTACGATTGACTGTAGGTGGATGCTATTCGTGGGTACTTACATTAAACATCGGGCTAGACAAATCGCTGGATAAGATGNCTTCCGTACGCTACGTACTCTATGTTCCCTATGTTAGCAGCGTCGCAGAGTGTACGCAGCGTACGTAGCGTACGTAGCGAACATAGCGTAGCGCTCTGTGTGGCCGAACCTTAAGTATTGCGAAATGGTACATAATAAGCAATGAGAATTCCCTCTGAATTCATATTGGGGTTTGCATTAGTGGGAAACGTAACCTTAGAAATTATTATTATTTATCTTAACACTATTCATAAAGAATTATTTGTCACGAAACATGATAAGATGGGCGTGACATGTAGAACACATGGGAAGATAGGTTAATGCGTAAAATAAATTTGTGGAAAAGCTACAAGAGATGCCGGTATTAATCAGGATAATATTAAAGTAGACCTAAAATATTTCGATGTTCAATTGACTAAGCTATTTCTTATTATTTAACGATACTGTCAGTATGGAGACTACATAGCTCTGGTGTTATGGGTTAGTGGGACGAGAATTTTCAGGGGAAAGGGAACCACTCAGGAACACCTCCCGCAGTGTCATTTTATCCATCACAATTTCCATATAATCTGACCTAGTATAAAACCCGGGACGCAGCTGTGGGAAACCGGCTACTAACCGCCTGAATTCGGGCCCGGCCCCTGGAATAACGCGGGCCCATCATTCGATCCAGTGATGGACTCGTGGCAACACTGTAATCAACACTAAGAAGATAAAACTTGGGGAGTTCCTTCATCGTTTTAGCCCCCTAAACAAGATTGCTTCACGCATTTTTTTTTTTTTTTTTAGTTATAAGATGTTGTTAATATCGAGGCGCTGTACAGCGTCAGATTTGGTGAAGACCTGGAAGGGAGTTGGAAGGAAGGTTTTATGGCCTTCCCGATGTACCAACTCGGAATTTGCC